ACAAGAACCCATACCAAAATGAATATGCAGTTGTTAATGATTTCTGAGTGTTATGAAAGAAAATGTTAAAAACCAGCTGTGCTCAAAACCACCACCAAAAGAACCATTTACTATATTTATAAACATAACACAAATGCATATATACTATTTTCTTTGCCAATTTTTTCTGCTTTTCCTCATCTCACTCTCCACATTGACTCTCATCCCTTTTGTTTTTTATTCTGTTTAGGTTTTTATAGGATTTTTAAAAATAAAATTATTAATTTATATTTGTATATTTTGGAAACATTCATCAATAATTACTTAAAAGCTAACATTTTCCGGGTTCTTAGGGTCTAACTATCCCTATAGTATACTGCTTTTAATTCTCTTATGTTCAAAATTCTAGCAGTTGGAAAATTATGCTGTGGCTCAATCTTTTTATTGTAGATACTGTAACGTGGCACCATAAATACATTATTGGGAACCAGCAGTTAGCGTAATGGCTATGTCGCTGGACTCCCACGTAGTCGACCGCGGTTCGCGTCCTGGACCCGGTGGCTTAAAACTCACGCCGGGCGCGTGTGTGCCCAAGATCCCGAGAGGAGAATGGAGGAGAAGGGATTGCGGCGTGACCATCCCTCCTGGGGGGTGATTTCTCGCTTTCTGTCTCTATGTCTCTCTCTGTCTGTCTGGCGAGCGCACGCGCCCTATAGCAAAAATCTCTCAAAAAAAAAAAATACATTATCAAGTGATGAGCATATCAAGTGATGATGAACAAAGATGATAAAAACATTCATTCAGCTAAAACTGGATCTTCCTCACTCCTGAATTTGCTGCACAGACTTCAGACACTGCTGGCAAATAAATGCCTTCAATCGTAAACGAATCAGTATGCTAGATTTTGCTCAGTTCTATTTCATGTGAAAAGTGATGGTCCAGTACAACTACACTAAAAAAAGGTGTGTTCACCTCTCAAAACTTCAGAACAGTCTATTTTTATGTCTAAGTGTCTCGAAATTACTGTAAACTGGATTCCTTTAAACTGGAATCTGTTTAGAAATAAAAATTTAAAGTGGGATTGAAAGTCTTTGAAGAAGCTAAAGAAGTATACCACAAATCTGATTCTCACATCTATAAGCCACCTCCGGAAAGGGCTATGCTTGTCACACAACAGTAACAATCTTAACAATGCAATGGATGTCTATGAGAGAGAAATCACTTCACAGTTAACGTCTACCAACATAAACACGGAGATAATCGAAGCTCTTTCTCAAAGCTCCTTTTTAGGGGGTGAAGGGCCAAATCCTGCCCCCTAAGAGCACAAGTCTACGCTTCAAGGGCAGCTGCGCGTTATTTCAGGGTCGAAGGGGCTCGCGTTTACTCCAGGGCCCTGGATGGCACGTTTAAACGTGTGGGGAATTCTGCTCGCCCCTTCCCGATCTGCACCGGAGGGAGGTGCTTTCAGTGGGGAAGGAGCAGGGAAACGTCTGGAAACGGATGGGGACCGTGCTCGAGACACAGGCCCAAAGGCCTTCTCCGGCTGGGGCGTGCAGGTCTCGTGACAGGACGAGCAGCCGAAGGGGCCTCTTCCCCCTCAGACGTCCTCTGGCCCCTGGGGCGGGGGTGCGAGGCCAGGGCCGGCCGCACCCAGGGGTGGCCGCTCCCACCCTTCCCTAGCCCTCCTCCAGGGCCTTTCCAGGCCAGCGCCGGGGCCGCGCCCGCCAAGGCCTCCACGGTCGCCCGAGCCCTCGCCCTGAGACTCCCCAGGCTCCCAACCCGGAGCACCCGGCCGAGAGCCAGGCCTCGGTCGCCTCAGCTGCCATCCTCACCATCCTGTCACCGGGCTCCGCTCAGTCACCACCACCGCCGCCGCCGCCCTCTTCCTCAGGTTCCTCGGCGACCCGCCCACTTTGCCCATAACCAATGAGAAGCGAGGTTGACAGGAGACCACCCTACGGAGGCCCGCACAGGCCATTCTCCGGCGTAAAGCGAAGCAGCGCTTTGCGAATAGGCGGAGGCAGGACGATGGGACCCAGGGATGAGCTCCGCACTTGGAAAAAACGCGGGCAACATCCGGGCACCTGGGGCCGTCGAGCAGCGGCACTCCTTCGGCTCCCGTGGTTTTAGGGCCTGTAGCCATGCTGAAGTGCGAGATGAGCGGCAGTCAGGTGAAAGGTGGAGCGGCCTTTCTTGTCTTGCGACATAAAAGAGGGAAAGCCTGAGGTTCTCGGGGAGACCCCATCATCTTATTTTCCCCGTTGGCCTTCTGTGCAAGGGCTGAGGTGGCGAGGCCTGGCCACAGCCAGCGTTCCCCACCGAGGGTCCCTTAGCGTCTGGGACGGGGATGAGAGCCCAGCTCCTGTACTTAGGACGGGTGGTGACTGTGAAACGGAGTTGTACCATCCAGTCTCAGACTCAGAGCGATGAGGACTTCTGGGGAAGAGGGGGTAAAATAATGTTTAGACTAAGTATTCTAGTATTGTGAGAAAAGCATAAATACGACTTTTTAAATTTCAGATTCTGTTTCCTAATGTATGACTGGATCACCACATCACTTTGGGGCAGTTTTCTCATCTGTAAAGGACTAGTAACAGCAACCTTCATTATAGATAGGGTTTGCTGGAAAGGTGAAATGGAAATACATATCAAGACCTCAGAATTAAGGGAATGTATGGGAACTAAGTAGTGTAAATGGCACTTTAAAAATGGAAGCTGGGTCTGTAGCAGTGGTTAAGCCAGCTGATTCCTACATGACCTATGTGCATTTGGAGTCCCTGAGCAGGAGGTGTGTGCATGAGTCCCCAGAATCCTGAAAGGAGGGAGAGATGGAGGAGAAGGGATTGCAGCGTGACCACGCCCATGGAGATTGCTTTCTGGCTTTCCCAGTCTCTTTCACTCTCTGGCAATTTTTTTAAAAATTACTTTTCTTTTTTAAATTTAACTTTATTTATTTATTTTTAATTTGACTAGAGAGGG